GGATAGTCGGTTCAATGCGCAGCCTCCTCTAATTGAAGCGATTCTGACGGTGGTTCACGTTGTATAATGGACAGGATATTTATTAGAAATGTCTTCCCCTCTCGACTTGAATTACGATCGTAACGTATTCTTCGTGAGAGTCGATATTTAAACCCATTGTACTTTTCTGTAGTAATTGTGACTTGAAATTCGAGTCGTATGAAAGAGATGACTTTTACAGATTTAAATCAGTAGAAAATTGGTCGATTGTTAGAAGATTGATTGTTATATGAGATTAATTGATTAAGTAAGAATTCATAATTATTAAATAATAAATTATTAGTAAGAATAATTAATAAAGAATTTGTTCTCTCTTTCTGTCTCAAGTGGCATTGTGAATAGACACTAACACGAATGTCATTTCGCTTAAGGCACACAATAATACCCCACTAAACTAATATTGATCGAGTGAAATTAATATTGATTGAAAGTATAATGATGCAAATCGCCAATCTCGAAACGCTTACATTTCTACGTGCTGTAAATGCTGCTCGATATCATCCGAACATATGTAACATTAAAAGTTAATCGATTATTCCTGACGAGATGAGGGTCTCGTGATTGAATGCCTCCAATCTCACGCGATATGACGTTTGCCGAGCGTCTCCGATCTGTCGTCCTTTGATACGTCGATTGATTCGTTCTAACTCTGATTAGACGTAACGATTTAGCACAGAATTTATCTTCGCTGATAGGCTCGCTCCCCCGTCATGTGACGGAATATTTCTTTTTATAACATATCGAGTCGATATCAATTCACCAGCAAACGCAATTTGCACGTACTATGCCATACACATAATTTAATAACAATATCGAATGTTTTACAGCTATATCTCTAGCACTAGCAAATCGTTACGTTTAAAATAAACCAACTATAAAACGTAATCTTGCTATTCTTGTTGATTTAAATACCTCTTTTAAATTTCTAATTGAAATTTCTTTCTGAAGAAGATTTAATGAAGCTTGAAGACCTTACATATATTTAAATAAAAAATAAAACTGGTATCTTACAGCTTATCAAACATCATTTAGCATGATGATATAATTACATAAATGTGATTCATTAAACGTTTATATAAAAAGAAATTGCCGTATTGTAGAATAGAGTATATCCTGTATGAATACAATGTAATTGTAACGAGCGTATCGTCATCCGTTATAATTTTCAATACGGTTTTGAGATCAACGTGGCTTGATTACAACCGATGATTGTAAATGTCGTCCGAAGATGAACGTCAATTATGAAATATTCGCTCGGTTGACAGTAGATTTTCACGGCTCCGCGATTACGAGCGCTTTCAACATTCTGACAGGAGTGTCATTTCGCGCCATCGGCTGACATCTTAATTGTGCAATTAACGTCGATCAAATTATATGTCGGATGTTACTGTTAGACTTCCCGTAATCGTAATATCACAGAAAAGCTAGATGAGTAATATCGAGGTTCGAAAGGTTTTTGAATCGCGCGAATTTGCATATGTTCCACTTTTAATAGTACGATTGACTTTTCATTTGATAAGTATTTAATTTCCGTTATATGATAAGTATTCCGTTTTATGAGCGGTTAATTAATTTTTTTCGATTAATTTTAGAGAACAGTTTATGCGTGCAGAAATTGATGGACTTTAAAAACTTTACAAAAGATTTCTCTAATTTGATACACATTAATTTGTTAACATAATAGTCATTTGTAACCGGCTCTCTAAAAGTGAATCAGTGTATTTATTATTAGTGATTTCGCTACACTCATAACTGATGTAATCATCAGTGAATGTTTATCAGTAATAATGCACTGATTTACTTTTAGAGATTATGATTTTTTTGCATATTCAATCTATAAATATCATAATCTCTAAAAGTGAATCAGTATATTGTTACTGAAAAACAATAAATATTTGCTGATAATTTTATCAATTATATAAAAGTAGCACTGAAGTTATTAGGCGAGTTTAAGCCGATAAAGCGACTATGCTTGCGTAATGAATTAGCATGATTGGTTCTCTTATCTGTGGATCCAACCAATCAGGTTAATAGCCGCTTTGTCGACTTAAATTCATTCGCTTTTAGAAAAGGTGCCTAATGTTCTATTTAGTAGAGACTTTAAAGGAGAGTCTGGATAATCTTTGGTTTTAAAATAAAATAGTGTTTACGATCCTACGCAGTATCACTGCACTGGGTCTCTAGTACTATGCAGTGAATAAGTACTGCACAGTAACAAAGTATTAAGTGAAAATTGGTAAGTGGAAAAAATTGATATTAAAGGATTCAAAATAAACAGGTAAGCATATACATTATGATTTTATTAAAGAGATTGAGTCAAAGATGTAAATAAAAAATTATACATATATTATATGTGTGGTAGAAAAGTGACATTCGAACTTTTAATTTGATCAATCATTGCGACTAATTTGTTTGAATTTATCGTGCGATTGAAGAATTGTTTAAGTACGCATCGAAATGATCACAAATGTATACATATTATTTAAAATTTATATATATATATATATATATATATAAATAATTAAAAGGATAATATATCTAGGAATATATATATATATATATACTCCTAGATATATTATCCTTTTAATTATTTTTTATGTTTTCTCATTATTATTATTTTTATTATACTAAATCAGTGCTAGGATTTACTTGCACAATTTCGACCAATTTTCAATTGGTTTCCGTGCGGATTGATGAAGTAAGAGGCAGGAACCAAGCTGAAAATCGGCCAAAATGTAAATCCTAGCATTGTATTAAACAATAATTTTACAAAAGAAAGAAAAATAGATGGACATGTGTCATCTATTATTCTTGTATCATTATATATATTTATTATATTTCTAAGCCAACTTGGATAAGCCAGCCAAGATAACTTTCACAAACTCTCCAAAGGATGCGTTTCATAAATTTTACAAATGATGTGCATAATGCATCATTTGTCCTTGTTTAACATTTGGTGAACAACAAGGATAAATGATGCATCATGCGAGAAATGGTATACTCAAGATCTCTACAGTATTTAGTATTTTTGAAAATCGATAGAGGACGACTCTATATATTCTCCAAATATCTTAAGAATCTCTTAATAAAGCATGAAAAATTAACAGTACCATGATAATTGCTGGAATTTGACATTGTAGTGAAATGTTTTAAAAAACTTAAGAGACGTATGTAGGGTATTAGGTATTATTGTATAAGATAGTCGATCAATAAGTTCTAAATCAGCTGTAACAAATAACATTTGTCATTGAATTAGAGAAAAACATGTGATTTTAATACACAACATGTGATTTTTCTATGTGATTTTAAATTGATTTTCTTTTTTTATTATTCTTTTTTTTTCTTAATGTTTGAGATTATTCTGATTTTTCCATTGCTTTAAAACATACCCATCTTTTCCGTTTTTTAATCATGGAAAATATGCAGAAAATACGAGAATACTTTATGTATAAATATCTGAGCTTAGACTTATGTTAAGTACGTCTCAATTTTTGATATATTTACATCTCGATTTTATTGATAAATGAGCGCATTTATTTATGAGATTCTATAGTATATAAATTATATAATAACGTAAATTATATCGTATATTATATATTTTTCGCAATAAGTTTATTACAGTTTTTTAAGATTAATTTGGAAAATTTGGGGGGATTATTAATATTTCAGATCAATTGCCTTTACTGTCGACAACCATATCGGCACGTAATTATCATTTCTGAAATTAATTCATTTGTTTGAAAATATATATATTAGTTCAACATCTCAATACTCAGATCGTAGTGGCGCTTCGGATTTTAAAGTAATGTAAATTATATCGTTAAATGTATGCATTTATCGATAAAAATGATGTGTTAATACGGACTTTTATTTTTCTGATATTTTGTCCATTTTTATTCTTCATTTATATTTTTTATTATTAATTCTTTTTCTACAGTCCTTTCGTGTCGACAACGAAAAGAAAAAATCATAGTTTTATAGTTAAACTCATCTTCACTTGTCTTATGAATAGAAATGCCCAAGTACGAGTATAATCTACTATAATATTAGAATCCATCATTAAATTTGCAATCAACTATATTGACTCTATTCCATTATTTTTCATTTAAGATCACTTTGTATACAGTATAATTATTATAATGGTACAAAATTATTTCACAATAGTACAAAATTATTTCTCGGTTTAAATCTTTATTTTCATATAAAATATCTTTCATTGAAAAGACTGCGTCATACAAAGAATATAAAGACGGTAATTATATAAAGAAAAAGATACTCTGTTTCAACGTGATTTTCTGAGCATTGTTACAAACTGTTTTGACCTTTTCACACCTTTTTATTCGAAACCCGTGTCTCCGGCAGGATTTTATTACTCTCTAGAATAGACTAGAAAGGAAAGCCGAAGAAGTAAGCGAAGCCGTACAATCCACAAACGAACGAACAGTTCCTCTCCTCGTTTCTCCTGCGGGGTGGAATGGACGAGGTGGAGAATGGGGAAGGGGGCGGGACGGGGGCGGTAGGAGAGAAACGGAGAAACATGGGTGGAAGCGAGAGCGAGAGCCAGACGTATTAATTAAACGACTCATTTTCATCGCACGACAAAAACGTTGGTTTAACGCCCATCGCGGACTAATGCGTCGCCCCACTGCAGCTTCTACGTACCTTGCTGGAACTCTGGTAGCCACGGTCGTATTCACATCCAACTCTGTTCTCCGTGTCGCGGCAAATTCGCCAATCAGACGCGAGTATACGCCTTCGTAATATCGAGCAACGCCCTTTTCGAACCCCCACTTGGAGCTCCACTTGATGTTGACGCCGTAGACGGTGGAACAGCTCTGGCGGTGGAAGTACTAGTGGGGTGTCGGCTGGTTGGGTTGCTCTACCGGACCATGGTCCCCCACTACGGTGGGGCAAGCGCCTCGTTTAGCCTGTAATTTGCTCAAACACTAGCAAGCGCTCGTGCCAGGAACATCCGTCAGAGCTAGCGCTCGGTATTAGCTCTCGTAACCGAGAGCTGAATTTCACAGGACGCAGCGCGACGTGTGCCCGCTTTTAAGTTGTATTCAAGGCGTCCTTCCTCTCCCCGTTTCTCGTCGAGATTCCAGTCCGTGTCGCGAGCAGGTCGATGGAGAGTGTCGAACGTGACATACGAGTGAGTGTCGTGAGACTCCAGCCAGTGCGACGACGTTCGTGATTACGACGGGATTACATCAGTTGAGTTACGTTGGTGGGTTCGTGTCGATATTTGGCGACACCGGCGAGACGACGAGTATGTATCTGTCATATGTTAGTGATGCGTGAACAAGAGGCTGGGACTTGATTGTCCGTCGCTGAGTGACTGCCGAGACAACTGGTGTCGATTTAACGGAATAACGGACATCGATGATCATTTGCAGATTGAGAAAAAATTGATGTAAATAATAAAAAACTTAATTCTAAGAAAGAAACAATTGAGAGATCGAAGATATTTTAGGAACTGTGTGAAGAGATATAGACTTTGAAGAAGTGAAATCTTCTGGTGGGGACCGGAATGTTCCAGTGATAATTTAACAGTGTTTATCAAAAGTCCAGAAGTTCTTTGTTATTGCAGATCGTTTGATTGATTCGAGGAAGGCGGCTTGGAGGCAGCCGCGATGCTGCGGCGAACTTAATCCCGACGATTCAGCATTCACAGATCCGTTGGTCCTGTCAAAGTGGGTTGTCCACCTGGGAAGCGTACGATAATCGTACGATGATGCCGCTCGCGCCGACGCCAATCGTCCCGGTGCCATCTAAGCCGAAAATCGGCTTTAGCATCGACTCGATCGTCGGCGGCGGGCAAGGAGGCCGCGAAGCGGATCGTCTGGATCGTCTGGAGCGAGTCGAAATCGATGGCAGTCCAATGGAGATAGTCGAGGGCTCGTCCTCGCCGCGATCGCGCCGGGTCGCCACGAGATCACCCGGTGCTCATTCCGAAGGCTCCGATCGACCCGTTTCTAGAAGTTCCTCTGTAGAATCATACCCGAACTCACGACGGACACCGTCACACGCCACCGGTGTTGGTAGCGGCGGCGGCGGGGGTCATCTTCATCTTCATAGTACCAATCATCACGGTATTCCGCATCATCACAATCTGTCAGCAACACATCTAGACTTTGGTCGAACAACTGTTCACAGCCACAGCGGCGGCTCCACGCCCAACAACAGTCCTAGCCCGCCGCACAGGATACCACACGGGGATTCACCGGTCGGGTCGCATCCCCAACCACCCCCAGGGGTGGTCAGGCCCAGTCCGAACTACCTCGCGCCACCACCTAGCGCCGCGACGGCCGCGGTTATGGCCGCGGAACAGCTCAAGTCTTTATATGGACTACCCGCCAGCCACAGTCCTGCGGGACCGCAGACTGGCCAGAATGAATACCACACGCAGCAATTGGCTTTAGCTGCCAATTTGGCTGCGGCCCAGCACTTTCAGGCGGCGAATATCGCGGTGGCGCTTCAAGCGCATCACGGCGCGACACCCCATGGACCGCCACATGGGCCTTATCCACACGGCGGGACTCCCGGTGGGCCACATCCGCCCCCTCACCCTCATCAAGCGCCTAGAGACAGCTACCCCTTATATCCTTGGTTACTCTCAAGGCATGGTAGAATTTTTCCACACAGATTTCCTGGAGGTATGTTTTATACTTTCTCTTTAATATAAAAATTGCTATTGTAAAGCTTTGGCCAAAAATATGGCACTTTATTAATTATTTAAGTTTCAGGGCAAAAATTAATTTATGGCATTGGCTTTTGTTTCAAGGATTCTTTAAACTTATGTGTAATATACCAGTGCCTGGTATTACCTGTAATACCAGTAGATAATGCAAGTGAAAAAATTCCAGATGAACAAAAAACTATAAGTGCCTAATACTTTTGACCAAGGCTGTATATGTGCAGTCAAGAAATAATTCAGTAATTTGTTTTTTTTTCTACAGTGGCCTTTAACAACCTTTAATACCTGAAATTTAACAGATATTATACGATAAATTTATGCAATTTAAAAATACTACGGAAAGATGTGACTTATTCTACTTACTTCAATGACACAATTAAAAAAAATGTGATATTCGGATTATATTACATTATTCACATTGTATCATGAAAATGAGTCATGTAAATATTCGTCAAAAGAATTAACTTAACTTCGTAAAAAATCGTTAAAAATGTCGCAACTTAAAAGAATGGTTTTTTAAGGGTTGTGGGATGGAAATTACAAAAGTGACATGTTAAGAATATATTCTTTTCACCGATATTATATGATTCGCCAATAATGTTCTGTCTAAAGTTGGAAAATAATGTTTCTCCTTTTCTGAGAAATTTATGTTTTTGAATTGTGTCATTTTTTAAGAAAGCGATATGTTTAATTAAATTTACTCTACGAATGATTCACATGTAACTAGAATTTATATGCGTTGACGTTAGCAGAAGCCAAATGTTATTCGAATGAAAATATTTATTATAATTAATTTAAAAAAGTTTAATATAAAAAAGAATGCTGATAAATGTTTATATTTGGAAGATAAGATCATTCAAAAGCCAAATGATTTAGAAAACTCACTTGACCTTGGTTTACTGATTATGTTTTATCACGTTAGACACATATTTTAAATTTGTGTTTGAAGGTTTCGACAATGAGAGAGACTCTATGGGCATAATTATATTCACATCAAGTTTATAGCGTAGTAATTTATCTACGTGAAAGCCGTTCAAGATAGATAAACTATCATTCACATTACTTATCACAAATCATGCGAGATCGACGCGTAAACAGAATGTGTATAATAATATTTATAAGAAAAGGCTATTTATCTCGGAGACCATTCTGAAAGTTTCATATTAGGTTTGTTTTCTGTAATTGAACTAGCACATATTTTTGGAAGTTAAAATGGAATAGATATATGTTTGATATTTTTTGCAAAAGCGAAAAGGAAGTTCTAATGCATTCTAGAACAGAAATAAAAAACAGACCTCATGTCAATTCAACAATGTCAAAGGACAATAAAACACATATTTTTTTCGAATGTTATCGAATTATGCCTGATTATGCGCTATAATTAGTTTGAAAAGTCATCAATTTCAATCAACAACAATTATATCATCAACAATGCTTTGGCACAAATCGAAACTTTCAAATTGGTTTTATCACAATTTTTATGGGAAGGAATTGTAAGCCTTTCTCCTATTTTAGAAATCTGAGCTTATTTTTAAAATTATTTATTGCTGTTGTTTGGCAGCTTCTGTATTGCAAAATACGACACAGTATTTGTGTATCTCTAATTAATTATTTTAAGGTTAAGGTCATATTTTGTAAACTTTGTTTTTCTCAGTGGAATAGTTTCGCACTGTTATGATATTCTATATTTAATATTCTTATACGTATTCTACATTAAGCTGTTATTTAAGCTTTAGGTTTTATAGTTAAGTTGTAAGAATTTGACTAGTCACAATCGAATGTGAGAAGAATAATCGACTTTGATTGGTCAATTTCTTACGGCTCTTAATTTAAACTTAGGTAACAGCTTATTATAGAAGGTTCATTAAAATTATTTGTGCGGGGTAGTAAATTCGGAAATTGAATCCTAATCTTTTGTTTGATAGGTGATTTTTCTAATATTATTGGCTATTCAATATTTTCATATCGCTTATTTGTTACATAAATAGCGGCACAACTCAGTTTTGGAAAACAAAGTTTGTCAGAAAAAATAAATTTCAATATTTTGAATTATTAAAATTTTGTAATATTGATTACGAAATGTAATTTTGATATAACAACTGCTTACAGAGGAATGAAAGTGTACTCTTTTAAAGTTTATTCTTTTTTTTCTGTTTTTTTTTGCAAATAACTAAAAAATTTTTTATTTATGTCATTATGTAGCAAATGAAAATATGTAAATATACCGTTCAACTGACAAAATCAAATGAAACTCAATTAAGAGATTATAATCGAGAGATTGTGGTTGCGCATTCCGTTTGCAATATTGATAATTATCCCTGTACATATAATTTAGTTAATTATACCGTTCGCGCATCGCTGCGTTACGCAAGTATTTCGTAATTAAGATTTTGTAATGTTGTTGTTCTCGGTATGGCGTTCCTTATCACGCACCACGCCACGCTAGGCAAAACAAGTGTCATAGTTTTCCCTGCGTCCTAATTAATTTATTTTCTCGAGTTGATATAAGCACCAATTACGTACCTATCGCCGTTCGTACTATTAATGGGAAACAGAAGAAATATCGTCTCATCCGAGAATTCTTTCTCTCCCGTTCGGCTCCCCGCGGCTCGTTCGCGTGATGCTGAAGTACGCATACACAACTTTATGATAGATGATGTCGCTTATCGGTTACCGATAAGCCGAGATAACAATTGCCGTCTAATATCTATTATTGAATCTGAGGTACCACGAAGAGTTATTTAATGTTCATGATACTACCGGGATATCAGTTTGAATCTCAATAAAGGTTCTCTAGAAGAACAATAATAGATGGTCGGTATTATATCTATTTGATAAATATTCAATTATCAAATATTAAACAATATTTATTGCAGATAATAAATTAGTCAACTATTTCCGATACAAATATTTAAGAATTGATTACTGAATTCTTATTTTAAAGTAAACACATATAAGAACAGTTTTGTTAAAGTATAAAACTTTAGCTAGTTATAGATCTGAAAATAAATTTGTTAAACTATTAACAAAATTTTTAGAACAGTCAAGCTGATTGTTAGAATATCTAAATTTTTTGCAGTATTGCTCATCATACTTGAGTTTTCTATAATTATTTTGATTGTATTGTGTAACAAAATTATTTTCAGATTTATTATATTTTTGGATTAGATATGTAGTACATAAATTCACATTGAATTATTTAAGCACTAAAAATCCAGCTTGACCATTTAGAAACTTTTTTTTCTGATTTGTTGTATATTCACATTTTATGGTCTTAAAAAAGATATACTGTGTATTTAGTATTGTTATATTTACTTAAATTATAAAATTTTTTTAATAAAATCGTTTTTTTTCCGTCAATCAATTATGAGTTATTAGTTCTGAATTTTAAAGGAAGTATATATTTCAATGTCATTTGCAAATTATTTGCAATTATTAGAGTTTGTTTCATTCTCTCTCTCTTGCTCTGGAAAGGAATTTATTTACTCCAATACCATTTACTCCGAGGCAGTTTTTGTTGAATCTTTTTCGAAATTTAAACAGTGAAATAGTCTATTTTGCAAACTTCTTATAATCTACTTAATAGACCGGCCGGCAATCAGACAACACAGGCCTCGTTTAGTGTTACTTATGTGTTTCGCCACAAGAGGCAGACAAGTTCAAAGAAGATGGAGCGTTCCTGGCAAATAGAGAAGACGATTATCATAAATTTACCGCAATCGGCACGTATACGGGGCGTGCCAGTCGGTTAAGAAATATATCTGCGGAAAGGAAACTAGTTTCTTCGAAGAAAAGCTCCCAATCAATGCCATATTAACTCTCATTTCGCACATTTCTTTTTTAAATTTCTCTTTTTTTCTTAAGATAATAGTAAATAGGTGCAAAAGTGAGAATTTAATGATAAAAATAATCTTACATTTCTTAAATGAAATTCGATAAGTGAAATTTGAAGTATGATTCGAAAATGATCATAAGAAATGGTACGTACAAAGAATTATCATTTTACTGAACAAAAAATAGAAACAATAGATCTTTCCTTTCACATATGTATCCGAATACATGGTATTGTGAAATATATGGGTGAAACGGAAATATATAAGTGTTTACCAGACGTGGGCAAGCATTCTATTAAGAATACTATAGAATGAATGAAAGGACATCCTGATTTATTCTAGTCAAATCCATTAATTTTTTCTTTACAAATTATATTTGGATACTTAAAGAAACATTTTGAAAAAAATGAAGGCGAAAAAATCAATATATTGTCAAATAGCGAGAAGAATTTAGAAGAATACAAAGATGCATCTAAAAACTTCCAGTCAAAGGCTTGAATTAGAAATCGTAAAGGTCTTAGGAACAAAAAATTATTTAATAATCATTTCTATTGTCACATAACAACAGAGAGTTAAGTGGCAATAATAATAGGTCAACAATAAAATTAGAAAGTAACGACAAGAAATTGATCCTTAGATTGCCAAATGGGATAGTATTACAAGAAGAAAGGACAGCGAAAGGATTGTGAATTTGTTGAGAGTGATTCAGCAGAAAGAAAATGGTAAAAGCCAAAGATAACTCGGGATATGGCAACTCTGCTAAAACTCTCACTTAGCAGCGTCGGATGAGTTAAAAAAAATTGAGTACTAAACAATTATAAAGAGTCGATTATCACGAGAGCGTAGAATAGAGTTAAAAATGCGAAGAAAAGAGAAAAAAAGAATGTATCATTTATTGAGCGCTCTAGAATAAGTTCTTTGAAAATAAGAAAAATGTTTCAGGATAATGAAAATTATAAAGTACAAAAATTATATATAATATATATGCAGTTGAATATGTATAAATAAAGAGAATAAAGAGAAAGAGGGGGAGAGAGAGAGAGAGAGAGAGAGAGAGAGAGAAACATATTATACATTTAATGAATAATGATGACTATAATCATTATTTTGGTTTAATATAACCAGT